GCGCTCAGTAGTCCTGGGGAGGCCCCTCCGACGTCCACACTGAAGGGTGAAGACAGCGTGGGAGGCGGTGGAAAGAGGTCAGGGCTCCGGATGGTCCTGCGTTTAAGCCCCAGGGCGCCCTTTACTAGCTATTTGACATCTGTTTCTCACTGGGAAAGGGGGCTGACCCATCATGGCCATGGGGTGCTGTAAGGGTTCCCTGGGAATTAAACAGAACCACCGAGCGGGCCGGGCGCTGGGAGCACGGATCCACACTCACGCCGCGTTGTGTGAACGTCGCCTGACAACCCTGCCAGGCCCCACGGCCGGCAAAGGGTGCGACTTTCTGAAGCAGGCTCCCCGAAGCGGAGCCCAGGCCCTGGGACAGACTTCCAGAGGAGACGGGGCCGACAGAACTCTGTTCGACCCCCCTCTTCCCAGAGGCAGGCCCGCAAGGGAGAGGACCCAGGACTGATGAGCCCAGCTACCCTGCCCATGGGGGAGGCGCACTCTCATCATCTACCTGTTCTCCCCAAACTAGACACCCCTCCACCTCTGCTCCACCAGCACCACTCCCAGCCCTCCAGTCCTCCCGAACCTCTGACGTCCAATCGCCCGGTTTTATCTAGTCTCCGAGGGCCTCCATCCCTGCCCTTCTGCAAACTCCACACGCGTGCTCCCACCGCCAGGGTCTCTCCCTTCCAACCATCGGGGTCAGTTCTTTCTAACAGCCCCCCGCCCCCTTCCCGACAGCTAGTCACCCCGGTGCCCCTCCGCCCCCAGCACCCCTCCGGCGGAGCATCAGGACAGGCTGCAGGCTGCCTCCTCCTCCCTTTCCCACACTGCAAACCCCTCCTGTTGTTCCCCCAAACCTTTGCAACCGTTTTCCCAAAGGAGAATACTTTTGTTTTTTTCAAACATTATCCCCAAAGGCTCCGTGCAGAACACAAACCAGAGGCCACTCTGGGCAAAGAGGTCGAGAGAGCCCTCTGCCCCGAAGTCTCAGGGGGGCCCCCCAGGCACTTCCCCGGAAAGCGGTTTGAAAAGCACTATCCTAACCCTCCCCTCTGCTCATCCCAACCCGCCCTGCCTGACCCCCACCCAAGCCCTCCTCTGCGCCCTTTCAGAGGCCGTGTCTCACCGGAAGGCCGAGGCGGAAGGAGGGCTCCACATAGGAAACGCTACCCGGCACCCCCGGCACCTGCAGAGCACGTGTGTGTGTGTGTGTGTGTGTGTGTGTGTGTGAGTGTGTGTGTGTGTGAGTGTGTGTGTGTCTGTGTGTGTGTGAGTGTGTGTGTGTGTGTGTGTGTGGCTGTGTGTGTGTGTGAGTGTGTGTGTGTGTGGTGTGTGTGAGTATGGTGTGTGGTGTGTGTGTGTGGTGTGTGTGGCTGTGTGTGTGTGTGTGTGTGAGTGTGTGTGTGTATGAGTGTGTGTGTGTGGTGTGTGTGGTGTGTGTGTGTGGTGTGTGTGTGTGTGGTGTGTGTGTGTGTGTGTGTGTGAGTGTGTGTGTGTGTGAGTGTGTGTGGTGTGTGTGGTGTGTGTGTGGTGTGTGTGTGTGTGTGTGTGTGTGTGTGTGTGTGTGTGTGTGTGTGAGTGTGTGTGTGTGTGTGTGTGAGTGTGTGTGGTGTGTGAGTGTGAGTGTGTGTGTGTGGTGTGTGTGTGTGTGGGGGGGGGGGGGTGGTGGTGGTGGCACAGGATGAAGTCTTTGGAGAAGGAGCAAGGAAAACGTCACAGAGGAGCTGACAGCCAGGGAGCCGGCGCTCTGAGGATGGAGGCGGCGCAGGAAAGAGGGTTCAGGCTGCGGGAAGGGAAGGCGGAGCAGAGGAGGGCAGAGCAGGGTGCTGTGAGGGCAGCGGTGGGCCTCGCTTTACCACCTCCCGCTGCTCCCCTCTCCCAGCCTCGGGGTCCCACCTCTAAAACGGAAAGGTGGCAGTGCGCGGAGCCACTGTGCGCCAAGCACCGCGAGCTCCCTCAGCTCACGTGACCCTCACAACGGGCCTTCGCCCTGGGTCCCTGGTTTTCCTCCTTTGACAGACGAGAGCAGCATCAGAGGGAGGCTGCGGAGCCCGGACTTCACCTGGGGCGTTCGTTCCCCAGGGCGCTCCGGCTTCGGCGGCTGCACACTGCACCTGCCGCCTTAGTCATTCAGGGGTGCGTCTCTCCTCTCCTGCCATCCTGAGCCCCGGGGCCACGCCATCAGCCCAGCAAACCTGTTTGGTACTTGCTCAGGTTCTCACAGAAACGCGTGGGAGGGGAAGGTGTGAGTGGGGCGAGAAATGCCGTGGAGGAGTGCCTGCTAAGCAAGCATGCCTTCACCGTACAGCTGCTAGAGGTCTCTGATGAGGCAACACTCCAGGAACAAAGCGGGACCTCGGGAAACTCCAGACCCTTAGAAGCTAAGAGAATTCCCAAACAACAAAGTCTTCAATGACCTGATTATGTGATTCTGGAAAAACCCTACTGGTCCTGGCCAACACAGTCCAAAGACGACTCATACGGCTAGTTACCCCAAAGCACCCCCCCGCCTTTTTAAAAAAATATATTTTTATTGATTTCAGAGAGAAAGGGAGAGAGCGACAGAAATATCAATGATGAAAGAGAATCATTGATTGGCAGCCTGCCCTATGCCCCTTACTGGGGATCAAGCCCGCGACCCAGGTGTGTGCCCTTGAGAGGAATCAAATCTGGATTGACCCTTCAGTCCGCAAGCCGATGCTCTATCCCACATGTGTCAAACACAAGGCCCTCGGGCCAAATCTGTCCCGCCAGGCCTTGCAATGTGGCCCGCACCGCGCTGTCATCACTGCACTCCGCTGCGTTTCCATCACAATGACAGTTTATGACTGTTCAGTAAACCATTCGGCCCGCGATTTAGGCTGGATTTTAGATTTTGGCCCCTTCTCTGATTGAGTTCGACACCCCTACTCTATCCACTGAGCCAAACCAGCTGGGGCCCCAATGCCTTTTTAAAGGCAGACTTAGGTCTGATTAGCCAATTTCACAGCAATAAGAAAATGAAAAACGGTACCCCAGGGAAAAAAATCGCTCGTCCAAGCTCAGCAAGCCTACGAAGTCCTGGAGGTAGTGCTTCCCACACCTGCCTTGTAAGAACCACTCATTCCGTCCACATGTCAGCGACACAGGTTCCCGAGGCTGACGGACAGCCTAAGCGAGGCTCTCCAGAGCGTGGCTGGGTTCTTAATGAGCGGCACAGGGACTCCTAAGGCCCAGCAGGCCACCTTCGCTGTGAAATGAGACCAGCAGGTCACAAACCCCAGCTGGGACAGCACGTACCCTGGAGTGTTCTCAGAGTTCATCAGGATCATGCAGCCCCTCAAGCACTGCCAAGGGCACGTGCAGCCACCTGAAGACCCCCCAGCAGTTGCCCTGGTGAAGAACCCTACAATGGAAATGTCCCGCCGGATGGCAGTCACTGAGGCACCCAACCAGATCCCCAAGATAATGTGGGGAAGCTTCTCTGGGCCCCGTGACCGCCGAGAACAGCCGCTCAGTTCAGTGTCCGGTATTCCGCCCCAAGTTCCTCGCTCCCATCCAGAAGCAGAGGGCAGGCCCGTACGTGGCTGCAGCTCTGGGAAACAGCCACACACACACCAAAGGCGTTCCTTCCCCAATCCCTCTATCACCGTCTCCTCCAGCGCTAGGGCTGACAGTCACGGACCTGGGAGTCGGGCGGCAGCCTTGTGGGTGAACCAGTGGGGCATAGGACTCTGGGATAGGAGGCTGGGAGTCCCTGGACCTGCTGGGTGAAAAGGGCATGGAGGCGGGGTGTGTCTGTCTGTGTGCCTGCTTCTCCCGGGTTTAAGGGCAGTGTAGGGAGTGGAAAAGGCCCGAGGCAGCACCGGGACTGCTGAGATGCTGCCGAGACAAAGGGGAGTGACTCTCCAGTCCCCAGAGCAAAAGTGGGCATCACCCAGGTGAGGGAGCCAGGACTCTGTGAGGCTGAGAGGGCACTGGCTTGTCGTAGGGGCCGAGGCCCTGGAGTGCAGAGCGAGCTCTGCCAAGAACTCACAGCAGAGCCCTGGGGCATGGGGCATGAGGCCACACTGGCAGGGGTCGGCCAGGAGGACCAGGCGCCCGCTGCAGCCAACCTACCGCGTTCCACTTTATGATGGTGCGAAAGTGACAGGCATGATCAATTACAGGGGCTGCTCTATAGTTCATTACAGAATAGGCTTCGTGTTAGATGACTGTGCCAAACCACAGGCGATGTCAGTGCTCTGAGCTCACTGAGGGTGGGAGGTTAAGCTGTAGGTTGGGGGTAGGGTAGTAAATGGATTTTGTATTATTTTCAGTTTACGATGGATTTGTCAGGATGCAAGCTTGTTGTGGGTCAGGGAGCATCTATCTATCGCTATCGTGTAACTCTATTTGTAGATACCTACCCATACACACACACTCACACACACACACACACACACACACACAACCAACGCCCTATTGCCCGGCAGGTCCAGGAATAAGGACTGGTTAGTGCTTCGGTTGGTCCTAGTCTGGGTCCAGGAAAAAACAAGAGTCAAGACATAAAGCACACCCAGTCACTGCCCTGGAGAAAGGGCAGGTGTCAGGGAGGCAAAGATCAGGGACCCTCGACCCCACTCTGCCACTCCTCCCGCTGCCCTCCGCAGTCAGACTCCGCCTGGGCCCGTTTCCCCGCCGGTGCAATGGGCGAGATGCCTCGAATGTCTCCAAACTGAGACCAGCAAAGACGCTCAAACGTGGGGTGGAGGGTGGAGGGTGGAGGGTGGAGGGTGGAGGGTGGAGGGTGGAGGGTGGAGGGCGGTGGGAGGCGGGGCTGGAGGCCGGACCTGCGGAGGAAGCCGCCGGCGCCCGCGCCCTCCCTCCCGCCCGCGGCGAGGGGCCGGGGAGCCGACCTCGGCGGCGGTCACGCGCCCCTCGCGCCCAATCACCGGCCTCCGCCCGAGTGAGGCGGGAAGGAGGGGGCGCGCTGGCGGCCGCCGCAGCACCACCCCGTCCTCGCCCCTCCCCGGGCCCCCGCTCACCTGCCGGGGCCGCAGCCGCGCCGCCACAGCTGCGGGTGAAACCACAGCCTACGCCCACACTTCCGGGTCCGGAGGCCCGCCCCCTCCTGCCGGATGTGACAACTCTCAACTTCCGGGTCTGGGCGCGGGATCCACGCTGCTCATCCCGCTACCACATCGGGTGTCCTGCGTGCCTCTGAGTCACGGCACTGGCCCACCCTCCGCACCAGACACACTCACGGCCACGTGGGGATGCACCCGCGGGCTCCTGGCCCCGCCCCCACGGGCTGCTGGCCCCGCCCCCACGGGCTCCTGGCCCCGCCCCCGGGAGGGACACCGCCCAGGAGGCGGGAACTAGGCCGCTGGGGGAGGGTGCGCCTGCGCAGAGCGGGCGGCCGGGGGGCTGGCGTCTCACTGAGCTCAGCCTGCGGGCGGCTCCCCAAAGCAGCCCTGGAAGGGCTGAGAGAGAGCGAATGCACCCCCAGGATGTAGAGGACGCCCCAGGTGGGCTGAGCTCAGACTGCGGACTGCTCCCCCGCCATCCCCCGCTAACCGAATGCCCGCTTCCGTGACACCGTTTGGCCTCTAGACTAGGTGACCGCAGCACTCGGTGTCCCCGGAGGAACATCAGTGCCTGTCAGTCCGGGAGGCTCCGCAGGGATGGGGAGCCGAGTGCTTGTCCTTGCTCTGCCTTCATTTCGGGCCACTGAGGCTGCTCCGCCCCTACCATCACTGGCTCCCCGCTGGCGGGAGCTGGGGAAGGGAAGCATGAAGGCAGCGAGAGTCGTCGGTCGTCCTTCCACCGTATCCATTGGCTTTAAGGAAGCCACAGGGCACGGAGACGGAAGGGAGGCTGGGACACGCACCGCGGAGCGGGGTGGGTCTGACGGCTTGATCGCTAAGGGCAGAAGGAGACCATGGCAGAGTGTGCCCTCCTGTGTCAGCGAACACACGCCGAGCTGCGCACATCAGGAAGACGCACGGCCCCAAACGCCAGTGTTTCCACAGCGAAGGCTCCTTTCCCATCCACATCAGGCACAGGCTGGCAGCGAGCCCTGCTCCTGCCACTGAGGGAGGAGCTGATGCAGGAGCGGGTGGCAAATGGACTCTGGTTCTTAAAGTATAGTTTTTGTGTTTTGTTTTGTTTTGCTTGTTTTTTTCACTTAGTAACAGCCTAGTGTATGTCCTTTCATACAATCTTATCCAAATCTCTATCTAGGGGTCAAGAAAGGCCGCCAGGCAGGGTGGGGAGGACCAAGGCAGAATAAATCTCAGGCATGAGAATAAATGGTGGCATTGTCGGCACGTCCCCTCCCACACCCACTCCCCCACCAGGTTTGCCAAGACTGTAGAGATGCTTTGGCACATGGCCTGTAGCAGAGGGATGTGTGGTTTTTTGTTTTTTTTTGGTTTTTTTTTAAATCTTCACCCAAGGATTTTTCCCCCTTGATATTTTTAGGGAGAGTGGAAGGGAGGGATGGGGGGCGGGAGGAGAGAAACATCGATGTGAGAGAAAAGCATCCAAAGTTGCCCCACGTGCGCACCCCTACTGAACCTGAAACCTAGGTATGTGCCCTGACGGGATTGAACCGCAACCTTTTGGTGTACAGGGTGACGCTCAACCAACTGAGCCACCGGGCCGGGCAGTTGGAAGGAAGACATTAAGAAAGCATGTTTATAATCACAATTTTGTATTTATACAAGAGTGCATGCATGTGTGGATTATGCATACATTTAATTAAATGATAAAGGAAAGAAATTCATAAGATGTAAATGTGTGTTCAAAACCCAACAAAATAATAACATAAAGCTGTACCATATTAAGTGCATGGTATATGAGGTTTAAGTTTGGGTGCAAGTTACAAGAAGCCTAAAGAATCAGAACTTAAGAAAAAACGTGACTTTTTTCTCTCACGTAAAACAAATGTGGAGGTAGGCCATCAGAGCTTGAATGAGAGGGAAATGCAATTGTGTTTTATTTCAACCTCCGTTATTCAGGCTTTGGCTCTAGCCGCTGAGCCTGCCCCCAATGCCTAACCTGTGCTTCCCCCGTCTTAACTGGCGGGTAAAGAGCTCTGCTTCCACGGGCTTAGGGTCGGTGAGGTCTCGCCTCCGGGGCCTGTGTCCAGGGGGCTTTGGGAAATGAGGCCAGGACAAAGCGCGTGGCAGGGACACTGCTGGAGCCCCCGGGAGGGAAGCTGACCTGGTCGGGTGCCTGAAGCAGGGGCCGTCTTAGGCCAGGCTTCCCTGAAGTCGCCCCAGAGCTGCGTTCTCACTTGCCAGTGACTTATTTCAGAGTGGCTCCCAGAAACGTAAGCGAGGGAGCAGAGGCAGCAGGAGGGAGGAGGGAGGAGGCCAGGGGGGTGTGGTTTCATTCACAAAGGACTTTGGGGCGCTAGAAATGGAACCTCAGAAGTGCCGAACCCCAGACCAGGGCGCTGGGCTCTCACGCTCCCCACCATTGGTTGGGGTCCCCTGTGCGATTGCAGACGTCCACCAGGTACCAAGAGAAGCGAGAGCCCACGGAAGGGGAGGGGAAGGCAGCCGCAGAACACACAGTGCTCTGCACCCCTCTGCTGTCTCCGGCATCTGTCAGGACCCCCCCACCCCCCCCCCCCCCCAAAAAAAAGGCTTCGGGGAAAGCTGCTTCGAGCCTGAGAGGCCCAGGAGCCCTAAATGTAGGGGAAGCAGGAGTGCATTCTGCCCCAGCTGCGCCCACAGCACCCAAATCTCCCCCTGCCTCCCCTCAGTCCCCTCCCCACACAGACGCAGGCAAGTGTTTTAAGAGCAAGATGCGAGGAGCGCTGTGACTGCTGATGGGGTGCTCAGCCAGGACAGCCCCCAGGAGCCTTCCCCACGCTCCCAGCCCCAATGACCATAGGGTCCCAGGAAGTCACACCATCTCCAGGAGGAGAGGACAGCGCCCTCCTCCCCCTCCCCACCAGGTGGCTCCGGCCAGCGGGAAGGCAGCCACTGCTTCTCCTGCTCAGGCCTGGAGCCCCCAGCAGCCTGCTCTCCCCACAGCCAGACAGCTGCGAGGCAAAGCTCACACAGCTCCCTGAGCCCAGGTCTGGCTCTGTCTCTAAATGACCTTGTAGTCTAGGGCGACCTTCCCCAAGCCCCTTCTCTCTGGGTCTCTTTCCATCTGCAAGGCCAGAGACTCAAGCAGATGGTCCCTCGAAATATGTCATTACTTTAAGAGGCAGCTCTCTTGCAATGTCCACATCCCAGACAGGCTCCCCAGGTATAACAGGTATAAAACCAATCCAAATACATGATTGATTTTTAAAATATCTTTATTGATTTCAGAGAGCAATGGAGAAGGAGAGGGAGACGGAAACATTAATGATGAGGGAGAATCATTGGTAGCTGCCTCCTGCACGCCCCACACTGGGAATGGAGCCCACAACCTGGGCATGTGTCCTGATCAAGAATCAAACTGTGACCTCCTGGTTCACAGGTCAACAGTTAACCACTGAGCCACACCAGCCGGGCCATGGCTGATTTTATGCAAGACACACACAGCACTTCCCACACGTCTAAGCACCCTCCACACACTAATGCATCAGGTCCTGTCACTCTCCATCTGACGATGGGGCCTGGGGCACACAGAGAGAAAGCCACTGCCCAGGGTCACACAGCTATCCTGTTTCCCCGAAAATAAGACTGTTTTATATTAATTTTTGCTCCCAAAGATACGCTAGGTCTTATTTTCAGGGGATGTCTTATTTTTCCATGAAGAAGAATACGGTACACATTTATTGTTAAATGAAAATAAAGGAAATTTATTACCTGTATACGGTACGGTAGTACGGTATTTGTCAACACAAACCAAACAAACTGCGAATCCTACAGTATCAAGAATTTACTCATTTATTCAATGACAATCATGTCATCATCTTCTGGAACATCCTCATAACAATCCAGTTCCTGAATTTCCTGGTGAATTTCTTGCGACTCCATTTCTTTCAGAACCAGTGGACCAAATCTCTCATGTTTAGCCTAGGGGGGGCCTTATTTTCGGGGGGATGCCTTATATTTCACTCAGAAGGAAACCTGTAAGTAGGTCTTATTTTCGGAGGAGGTCTTATTTTCAGGGAAACACGGTAGTAAGTGGCCAGGCTAGGATCTGAGCCCAGCTCTGGGTTCCTAAGTGCTGTGCTGTGCCCCCTCAAGGTCACGGCCCTGTATTTCCTTAACTTGTGCCCAGACTCCATGGAGCCTCCTCCTGTAGGCCAGAGAGTGCGTGCATCCCAGCCAGAGACTTCGGGCTATTTAGCTCCAGACAAGAGAAAGGGGGGCCTGGGCTCCAGAAACCATGGTGCTCACCTTCAGAGCCACAGCCCCCTGGCCACAGGGGACATGCCATGCCCTCTGTGCCCCGCAGGTGGCAAACGTGCCCCTCCCAAGGCGAGGCCAGAGCCAGGGCCAGTCCTAGGGGGTCCCACCCCCACTTCTCACAGGAACGAGCTCACTAGTCAGGTCATGGCACCCACTCACCTACAGTCGGAAGTTCTGCCCCTTTCGGCAGAAAAACTAACCCTCCAGGGGCTGCAGGCTAAGGGCACAGCTCAGCAATGGGCACTGACAAGACTCAGGCACCTTCCCCTCCCTGGCAGAAACATCAATGATGAGAGAGAATCATTGATTGGCCGCCTCCTGCAGTGCCCTGTTTGGGGACTGACCCTTGACCTCCTGGTTCGTAGGTCTCCAGCCCGTCTCCAGGTCAGGAGTCTGGACTTGCTCCACACTGAGTGTCACTGAGGGCCTGGTGCTGCCGCCCTGGAGCGGGATGGGGTGGCAGGCAGGTGGTGTGTACCTGCCACCGTGAGAGGGAGAGCCCTGGGCCTGTCCCGTGGACAGCTGCCAGGTGATTCGTTGGCCTGGACAGGGTTGCCATACGGAGGGGCTACCAACTGGAGGGGGCTCTTCAATAGAAACCTGCTTGGTTCCATCATGGTGGCTAGTGGTTGAGCATTGACCTTCGGACTAGGAGGTCACGGTCCAATTCCTGGTCAGGGCACATGCCTGGGTGTGCAGGAAATAGCCAGTTGATGTCTCTCTCTCATCGCTGATGTTTCTCTCTCTCTCTCCCATCCTCTCTCAAATCAACAAAAATATTTATGAAAAATGAAACCAAACCATGAAACCCAAGCTGGGCTGAGGGATCGCCTCTGCTAACGGGGTGGATGCCAACAGCAGGGCTCCGGTCCCAGCCTGCAGGA